GTCGGAAATTCGACAAACGAAAGATTTTTACCATGGTGATAATTGTAGCCGATTGTCCGGTGCAGACATGAAGGCCTAATTTAATTAGGCTCCGTTATGAACCGCTGATTTTGGTCAAAATTCAAGGATTGAAATTTAGTGCTCGCTGATAGTCACAGAATATTCTGTCACGGCTTCTGTTGTACCTTAGTCATAGGTAACATACTTCTCTGGTAGCTCATTTTCGCATTACATCACATCTCGTGTATACCTGATACGCCTTAGTTAATTGTAGAAACATGACGTGGTGGATGTTTTACGTTTCTTGGAGTAATGATCCGACGTATTCAGTAAGTTTCAGGGATTGTTCCAGTCCTTTGTCGTGACCTTTTGACTACTCTGTTCCAAAATTTCGATAATGTGCTTCATTCAATATTAATAGATCGAGTTGTATATTCGATACTCCACATGATTTTTACATGCTCCTTTTTCATATTTATCATAAATCTGGATAAGATATTCAGTTCACTGAGATTTAGATCATTTCTCAAATGTGATTTTTAAAGAACTGGTTTATTGTCTATTGGATTGCATTATAGCTGGAGAGTCACCGAAAACGATCGGCTAAGACATCGTTAATCACTTTTCAGTAGTTTTCTTGTGGTGTTTTATTGCTGGTCGTATCAGTCATACTCGGCGTCGGTTCGTTTTATTGCTCGTTACCAACTCGTTCGTTGAACATATCTGAAGATTACGTATTTCGCTGCCATAAATATTTGCAAATATGTTTTGCTGGTGTTCACCGTTTCCTATTCCTTTCCGAACACACACGATGAAACCTACGTTGCTTTGTGACTAATTAAGTCAACCCTTTGTCTGTAGTGACCTTAAAGCAAGCAAAGTCATAAACGGCCTAGCAACAATGTATGGAAAGCACTGTGTACTGTTAATGACATCATCACTTTTAAACCCAACATTATTATTTCATAGCCGTGGAACAAAACCATTGTAATAAATGAAAATCATAAGGAAAATGCAAAATTCAGAACCAGTTTTGATAACCTATCCAAGGTTTTCAGTTGTTTGCGGGTGTGGTGCTGCACTTTTCGACATTGCCATTTACTCCATTCATTTTGTCGCAATTTGGACTTGTCTTTACCCCTGCAGGTAAAGATTAGCTTTAGCTTAATTCAGGTTTCATCAAATATTGTCCTACCTTCAGTCGTTCCATTCCTGGCGGTGTTGCCGTCGTCGCCGGTAAAAATTGACGAACGATACGTTGGGCTGTTTCGCACTTTCCTCGCGCACTGCTCCATTGGAACTCCGAAAATACGATCCTTTGTGTTTTCATTGTTGCGAGGCGTGTTCTGTATCCTCTGAAAAAAGCGGTCATTGCAGATGCCTACTTATAACGTCCTGTTTCCAGCATCCTGTTTAGTGTAAAAGCAGAGCATCATTTAGCTATAGTTTTCATCATGGACACTGTCTTAATTTCAAAGGTAGGATCTGGTTGTTGCCAAACGTCCTTCTGTCATTTTGAGATAACACTTATTAGAAATGTTCATCGAGTAGAGAGAAGAAATTGCGTAATTAAAATGACCAAATATGCTTTTAATAGATTTGTTATATATTCAGTATTTAGTCTTCCGCTTCCTTTACAGTCGGCCAGCGTAGAAAGTAAAAGTATGGAGGCGCAACGTCTGCCTATCTGCCGATATTCTCAAAGTTTTAGTAAGAAAACATTCACTATTTTCTTAACGACGTAATCACTGACAAGAAATTTACAATACCAGAATGAAATATATGTATATACATAACATTAT